AATAGCATGAAAAGCTTTGTAATTTCTGATAAATAAATAGCAGAACACTGTTGCTTTTTCTAACGCTTTGATCTTTAATGCTATCAGCTTTATTGAAGCATTATCGTTTACCAAATTTAACTATATATATATATATATACATATATGAAATGTCAGTAATAGATCTTCTGTATGACGCAATCTTTCATTGTGAAGTCAACAAATTAGCAGAGATAATAAACAGGTGCTTTTTTTAAAACTTGATAAGTGTACCGATAATCGAAACGATATGTGTTTATTTTTTGATTATGGCTTGATTCCACATCGTATTTTTGGTACACGTATGGAATTTTCAGCATGTGATATCGGTAGCCCAATTTTGCAGGCCCACCATTGATATCGGGTGTGCGTTGGGAGGGGCTCGGACCCCGAACTCTGTACATGGTCAGCGGGAATCCTAACCGCTTTGTCTTAATGAAATATGCATATCAAATGTCAGTTGACTGTGTAATTTCATGGTTGGAGGGGTTTGTGTGTCCGGTCAAGGTTAAATTCATTCCTAAAAGAATGTATTGTGATTATTATTATTTTTCTCTTAGATTCAGAGTAGAACAAAGAGCTTCAGCAGCACTTCTCCACTTAGTTATATTCTCTTCCGTCCTCTTAACCAGAGCCTAAGTTTGTCCATAGTCTCTTATCTCTCACTCACACAACCTCCTCCACGTCACCTTTTGGACCCACAGTCAACTCGTCATTTTCTATTCGAGTTCCACTTGAACAATGACATGATACCCTATGTCATTCGAGGGTCTCCACAGAGTGTGTACGATCCATTTCCATTTTTTACGGAATATTTGTCGAGCATATGGTTCTTGATTGGTTCGCATAAGAGTCTCTTATTCCCGATTCCTTCTGGCCATTTGATCTTGCATATGGAGCAGAGGCGGCTGCTGATAAAGGTGTGCAGTAGTCTGTTGGAAATGCTTTTTGTGACGCACTGGCCAGGTTCCTGACCCATACAGAATAACTGACTGACTTCTCATCTGTGCTGAATTTCGGAAACTTGCGCTTTATGCCACAGAGTGCAGAAGATTTCCAAACAGATTTCAGATTGATAAAGGTATACCTAGCCTTTCTAGTTCTGGTTTTCACATCTTCATCTGCTCCGCCTGTTATTGGAATAATGCTGCTTGGCCATATATATGAAGGAAGTTACTTCTTTCAAATTTCTCCCGTTGATGGTGATTGATACCGGTTGTTGTTCCTGTTTGGCTGGTTCTCACCATCAACTCCACTTTTCTATGTTTCCTTGAAGTCCTCTGGCGCCAACTTGTTGGTTTTCATCTGAAATGTTGAGAGTTTGGATGTAGTTAGACATAAAATATCCACCGATTTCAGATTGCCTAGAGTTTTGTTATCTGCTGTCTTCACTTCAAAGGACTGATGAGTTTTCTGTTGTGGATCCCCTGACACGTGCTATTTTCATCTTATAACTGTTGAATAAGGTTTATAAAGATTTGAAGTACTGCCCGCCGTAAGGCCGAATTAGTTTCCAATTTACTTCATGGTCAACGCTATCGATAGCTTTTTCAAATTCCATGAAATTGAGGCAGGGATTTGACTGCCATTCTATGCTTTGGAGAGTATCAGTTATGATGAGACGTTCTTTGTCACTTTGAAAACCGTAAGGAATGATTTAAAGACTACCGAACTTGGCCATGAAGACTGATTCTGCAGTGTATAAACACTTGGACTAAACATTTCTCAAGCCTTTTTAACTTTATTCGGTCTCCTATTAGTGAAATACAGACTATATAATGAACGGAATATTCCCACACTGAGTCATAAGAAAAAGACGTAAACGGCGACGTAACTTTTCTTCCCCACATTTCATTTTCAGTCGTAATTATATTTAACAAAGAATTCATAAGACGAAAAATCAGATACTGGTAAAATTTGTCCTAGAAAATATATCACATAATATAGAGTGTGATCTAGATGGTGATAAGTAATTGGAAATTAAAAAGTGGCGGCAAACGTTGGGATGATGTTATAAGTGTGAGAAAATGACTAATCAGCATAATTGTGTGGAGTGCACGAGAACTATTGGAAAGAAGATAAAGTGTCTTCATAAAATCTGCATGAAAACGCACTGTTATTAGCAAACAATAATAGCATGATAATAAGAATATTATACTAAATGCTGAAACTTGCACACCGTAACATTAGTACTGTTTTGGAATAAAGCCAATTTTTATTATTAAAATAATAGTAAACTTAAAAGTTAATTGGTGGATGTTGACTGGCAGTGGAATCCAGGATGCATATTTCGTCCCATTTGAGACTCGTCATCTGGATGTATCTGCTAGTCACCATCCACAAATCAACTTTTAATTATATGCCCAGACATCGTCAAAGTATTTGCACAAGAAGCTGATATGTCAAACTAAGACCGAGCACTTCGGTCCATTTAATGGACATTAAAATCTAAGATTGAATTAAATAGTAAATTTATATAATAAAATGAAGCAAAACTATAGTATAAACATTACGAGTGAAGGTACGTGGTGCTTCTGAACGCAGAGGTGGGGTTTAAGATCCTGAGTGCCCGACAATGCAGCTTTGTATAGATGAGGTATTCGAGGTTTCCGTCTGTGTAGCACTGTGAAGCATTCATGTGGGGGTGCTCGATGTCCGGAGATGATAAGGTGCTTGAGCATGGGCTTGCTACTATTCTTCTTTTATTCTCTAGTTAGCCGCCCTGGACAGTGTTCCAGGTTACATTTGTGGACCTGATGCTGCGTAAGGCCGATAAACTTCGCTCCACACGGACAAGTGAACTGATAAATACATACCACTGAGGTGACCAAGCGTGGTATCTTATCCTTAACGTTAGACTGGATTAACTGTGTTCTGGAGAATGTGACGACACCTTCTAGATTGCGCCTTACATTATGTGATATATTTTCTAGGAGAAATTTCACCAGTATCTGATTGGTCTTATGAATTCCTTGTTAAATATAGTGATTACGATTGAACAGCTTATGAAAATGAATCGTCGAAAAGAAAATACACTTCACTGTTTACGTCATTTTCTTATGACCATAAAATGTTTGATTGTTTTGTGATCGTAATTTCTACAGAAATTTTCTTGACTTATTCTGTATCAGAGTCTCTTTTATACACACGCAAATAGACTTGAATCACTTCCTGACTTTGGTGTTCCACATGAAGATGATAACTTTTTAGTGTGTCTGATATTCTAAAGAGTAGTTGGATATTGCATTAGTTGAATACACTGTTAGTTTGATCCAATTTGTTTGATCTATAAGGAATAACAACTGTTTTGATCCACATTTTCAGAGTTCTTTTCGATCATGTTTAATGCGATTGTTTATTTTGAGAATAAAATTCTTTGGATAGTTATAATTCTTAAGAATCTAAGTTGTAAGCGGTAATTCCTCTTGTTTTGCTTTTAAGTTTATTTAAAAGGTTCGACTGAAGTGATCTAAGCACTGGACGGTCAAGCTAATCGACGGTGCACTGGATTTGGCTCATATAAGAGAGTCCAATGAATTCAAACCCCCAGTTGACTACTCATCCCACTCAATAAGTAGTATAGTTTAATGTTTTATGCAATCATGAGAAAAAGACGAAATTTTTAAGAAAATTATCTTTCCGACGATTTATTTTCATAAGCTGTACAATCGTAATTACTACATTTAACAGAATTCATAAGACCAATCAGATACTCGTAAACTTTTTCCTAGAAAAATGCATTAGGTATTGTAAGGTGTAACGTAGAATAGGTGAATAATTGGAATTTAGAGAAGAGGCAAAAGTTGACATGACCCAATAAGTGTGATAAAATGACTAATCAGTATAACTGTGCAAAGTGGATAGGAACAACTGGGAGGACGATAAATTGTTTTTATAAAATCTGTATGAAAACTCGATGTTATCAATAAACATTAATAGAGTGATAATAAAATATCGATGATGGGAATAATAGTGATACTCGCATAATAAAAGGGGAGCAAAATTATACTAGGAAGTTAACTCTGGACACGGTGGGGTGAGTGAATGCATGTAGTGGTTATGAATGAAAACATCTGGTTTCACATCGTGAATAGTCAATGATTCAACTATAATCAGATGACGTATGCGAAGTCTCTTTGTACAATATTGATAGACTCTGTGTAGCACTGGGAAGCGTTCAAAGCTTCACTTCTCAACAGCTGCTACAAGTACACTCATACTCAGCCAAGCCATCGTTATCGGCTGACCAAGGAACATAGAAGACAACTTAAACAACTTCAAGAAAATAAAGACACAATCCTCGTCCGTGTCGATAAATAGATCTGATTATATTGAAAAATTAACAAACACTCTATCAGACAACATTAAATTCTCTAAATCACTCAATCAGAAAGACACAACAGAAAGAACAAAAAACCTGCCCACAACATTTCTCAAGAGAATGAAAGAATCTATGAAAATGAATCGTTAAAAAGAAAACCTTCTTCGCTATTTTCACCTTTTTCTTATAACTCAACATGGGAATATTTCGCCTCATTGTCCAATTATGGTCAGTTTTCATGATCACCGTTTATGGTATCAAGCTGATCTGAATAATTTCGGTTTCCAAGGTGATATTTCACCTCCTCGAAGTGTGTAAATTACAAATTGGGAATTTGATTTAAGTGTGGGAAATCCAAATATTTGGTTGAGTTGTTTTTTCTTCCTGAATATAGACATTGGCGAATGTCCATTTACTTTCCTTTTATAGTATCCCATGAAAGCAGTCAGCCAAACATGTAAAATATCAGACAGTTTCATGATAATGCATGTCACTGCAATAATATTCGTTACAGATCGTGTTTATATATTCGTGTTTTCAGCAGCCTTAACAAAGATGTTCAGTAGTAGTTATTTTGTGCTGAAATTTACTGAATTATAGTATTATTATTATTACTGTTAATAATCCAAATTTATTTTAATCCTCAACATACTTTTAAAAGGCAACAAAACAACCAATAAATCAAGGTGAATTTGTCTCAGCCACGTCTTTGTAACACACTGTGCTACAGATGTCCATATGGCGAATTCGCTTGCGTCTCCTGCGATTTAAAGGTGAGAAAATCATATTGAAGACTTTTAATATTCTAGTTTATTATTTTTTCTAATGTTTTATCACAGTATTACACTGATCCGTTATTGTTAGTTTGTCATTTTCAATGTCGTATTAGGGGCATCATCAGTGCAGTTTTATAGTTGATATCATAATATGAATGCATGTTTAAAATCTGGGCTACCAAAGAACCCCCATCAATATGGTGGATAGAATTTAAACCATTTACAACCTAATCATTCGCAAATTTTTACTAAACATGAGGTGGAAAAGCATTATCCTCGATATATGCCATAATTATCTCAGTACATGAAATGAGTGCTCCTGAGTGTTGGTGTCCCTCATTTACAAAATGAACTCCTGAACTTTTTATAGTTGACATTCAACAACAAAATGTCGAGAATTCCTCGAAGGAGAAAAAGGAAAGAAATCACACAATGGATTGATTTGCTCTTCAGATAAGATAGAACTGTGTCACACGATCTACTGACAGTCAATTATTCTTTTTTATTTGATTAAAGATGCCTATTCGAAACCTCAAAAGGTTGATTATTGAACAAAGAATATTCTTTTCGATAACTTCATCATCAGGCTCTACAGTTGTATATACATTCATAATAATGAAGGAATGTGGGATCAATCATTCTACACTTAGCTAAATTCTTATGTTCTGACAATCTGAGTACTCTCTTCACAGTCTACTGGTCTCACTGACCTATGTAGTTGACTTTACTCACAGTCACTGTAAGGAATCTTTTAAATTATGTTACTTTGTTTAATTTGGTCCACCGTGCTCTTTAGTTTAAAGAGCTTGTCTCTGAGTGAGTTTGTAGGTTTGAATGTCACTCTGATTCCTGCTTTTGTAAGAATCCTACTGAGGTCATCAGATGTCCCCTCCTTATATGGCGAAACTGTAGACGCCTTATGTTCTTCCTTATTTATGTTATCATTATTAGTTTCACCATTATTTTTATTTTGAACTTTTTTGATCTTCATAATGAATTTTATAGGATAGTTATTTAACACCAACGCTTCTTCTCTCTGTTTCATTTCATTATTTAGGTTTTTTGTTGTACTACTTAGTGATACTGCTCCGTTTGCTAGACCCTTAACTCAGCCAGCCTTTATAGACAACTAATGAGATGAATTAAAGTCTAAATATCTATTAGTATGCGTTGATTTTTTATAAACGCTGGTGTGCAGCTTACCATCTTCTAGTTGTTTTATTTTACAGTCTAACATCATGGCTAATTCTCTCTGTTCATTTTCCGGCTTAAGAGCGAATTTTATTCCCTTTGCTAGTGAATTTACATGCTTCAAGAAACTAGAGATATGTTGTGTTTATAAAACTGTGACAGTGTTATCCACATATCTCCAACATGTCTTTGGAGTAGGATTAAATGCATTAAGAGCAGCATTTTCCCTGCTGTCCATAAATATGTCTGCTACGATAGAGGATATTAGTGAACCCACTGCCACACCATTTGCTTGTTTGTTTGTCTATTTTATTTCGAAATATGAATGCAGTAGAGGTTAGACACAACTGACCACCTAATCTTGCTTCATTAGCCGAAGGTTTTGTTCTATTTGTAGGTTGGAGATCAATTTCCAATTCATTTCTAACTACCTACCACCAAACAAACTAATATGGAATTACTTATTACCACAGTAGCCAAGTTTTACACATACATTGATACCTACAGAGCCGCATCAGTGTATAAACTTGCTCCTTACTGAATACCTCCAGCTTACATTCTGTTTTTCACTTAGTGTATGACCTTTCGCTGGAAGGAATTTTAGCCCATGCTCTCTTTGTTATTGCAGCACAATTTCCATTTAATACATTTTTTTAATTCAGAGAATGCTCTAAAACAAAGTAAGAACAGTTAGTCCATTCAACTGCTATTTTTAAACGCTTTTCTTTCACACTTTTTCTTCTTCTTTTTCAGAAAATGCTCAAATAATGCAGTCTGCTAGCAAAAAGGAACAACTCACATTCTCATGAATGAATTAGTCACTCCCGAAGTATTTCCTGACAATTTTCTCAAGTCTTATTTTTATGAATTATTCGGTGTTATTGTGTTATTGCACCCCCTATTTTCCATTTCTACCAAAATGTGCTCAAATACAATTGCGTACACGAACATTCTCTGTCTCCTTTTTTATAGTCCGTGTTCCGTTGAGCCATGTTACAGGCGTGGAATTTACTCTCCAAGCTCACAAACACGCACATGTGAGCATTCCCTCTGAACATGCTTTCACATTCATATACACGTGAAAAATATGCACAAGTAAACACACACATTGGCGTATAAAGGTAGGATTGTGACTGGAGAAGGCAAGACAGTTGGTAACAGACTTTTCTATTGAAAAAAACACACCATATTTATACATTTTTAGCCTCATTTATGGTTGGCTAGGTCAGTGGTGGCATAGTGGTAAAGTGCAGGTGGTTTGGGTTTCAATCCCCAGCCATGGTCGCACTCCTTAACCTTACTGAGCCAATAATAAGACTGGTAAAGAGGGATGGTTGAGCATGAGGCTAGCAACCCCATCCCGTAAAAATAAACACCACTGCTACTGAAACTTCAAGTCTGTAACTTGAGGCTCTATGTTCCACTGGGAACGTAAAGGAAAAAAGAGGTCAGTGGATGGTAAGCTGTTCTGATAAGTTTTTGGTTTTCTGTAGGTTAAATCCTGAGATAATTACCTGGTCACAGTGTTGACTAGATCCAGATTTGAGAAGTAAACTCTACTGACTTAAAATGATGTTTTCAATTTTGTCTACTTCCCATCAATTTGCATCTGTATACTGCTAATAATTCTTGCCAGTAACACACACCACAGGAGTACTAAATATAAATCTGCTGAAGAAGCTGTGGCTTACACAGCGAAACGTTCAGAAAAATCTTGTTCTGATTTCTTAACTCGCTGGGATTAATTTAAATAATTTATAATGAATCAATCTGACTCGGCGCTCGAATTATTTCAGGAAGTTCGTAACATCTACGGCCTGGAAACCTATAATCGTACTAAATATAAGTTTATGTATTTAGTGGAAATAACCAGCTGATAGAAAAGATTTAGCTTTTTCTCAGCAAACCTCATTAAAAGACATTCATGTGATCTGCCTAGTGATAACGTGACAGATTTTGGCTTTCAGGCAGAAGCGTCATCGTTTTCAAATGAAAATGATGAGATGTGACGAAAAGCTGACGAGTTAAACAGTTATTATTTGATTTTAATTGTTCCAGAGTTAGTTTCTAGGGTTCTGATTTGTTTCAAATCTGATCACAGATTGATGTATGTTAGAGAGCCATTGAAAACTAACAGAGAATACTGACCAGATGTTTTATCCTAATTTGGGATTCTTCAGCAGTACACACCAAAGACCTTCCATTTACACGGGAAAACCGTGGGTCATTCAACCACTGGGACTGTATCCAGGTACCAACGTCTACTAATTCGTGATTTTAGCGTGGCTGGCATCAGCCAATGTCATCCTCACTTCGGACAAGATGGACCCCACTGGCCATGTGGACAGATGTGCCAACTTTTTACATACAACGAATAGCTGTGATAAAATTGGATCTTATTAGATTGGGGCTCGAAGAACCATAAGGGTGTTTTCCTTTTTATAGCAAAAAGATTGCAGTTTGTGTATACACCTTGTTAGCAAATCACTATACACCACTTCTTTTCCATATGACATAATTTCAAAAAGAATCTTCCCAAGGCTATAGGCAGTTTTACTGTTTGTAGAGTTTCTCTAACCATCAGTGTCAGAGACTATTATCATTGTGAATATATTATCTACCAACAGCTGAAAACGGTGATAGATATTTAAATTAATAAAACACTTTATCACTCAATGAAGCAGGATGGAAATTCTTGATTTCCTTTTCCCTAATAAAGCAGAAACATTCGACTAGGAGAGAAAAATCATTTGTATAGAATAATATCCTTGGTTCTCTTCAACTGTGTATAAGAAACGAAAATTAGGTGTAATATGAATGCTAAGCTGAAAAATTGGATGTGGGTTGAAATAAAATGATAAAACCAAAAGAGTTACTAAGCAGAAAATTACCAGGGTATTTGTAAAGTCCCATGACAGTTTCCTTTTGAACACATAGGTCAGGTTTCGGTCATATTATTACGATAGGTCCATCAAATTGAAGAATACTCAGGCGGTTTTTCTGTGTTAGTCATTTTGAATGCTACCAATAGGTCTACTCAGTGTCCTGCGTCTATCAAGTGTTTGGCAATTGACGAGTTCACATTGTTTGGTCCCTTTCATCGGTGAGTCTTTGGTACATGTTAAAAGATTCTGATAGCGGCCGTTCTTTTCAGTTATGACACACAAAGTTTTGGAGTTATGATGAGAATGAAGAAGTGAGAATCGGAGTTAAAGTCGAGCTCCAGATTTCTGATTTGTGAATTATGCATTCCGTGTTGAAAATTCTTCATGATTTCCCTTTGGAAACCCAAACTTTTCGGATCACAACATGTCATACGCTGCATACCATAAAAGATGATAATTTATACTCATGACCTGTATGCGTATTTGAATACTATTCATATCAACCGGTAGTGATCAGTGAACTGTAAGATAGAAGGGATCTAAACACCACTCTATGGGTGAAGTGATAATAATTCAGATCGAATTCTCAAGTGGTGAATTTCTCACTTTGAGGTGAAAATTCACGACAGTTTTATTTAGAGACAATGAATGTTGATAAAGCAGGGGGCAGTGAATTCACGTAATGCTATCAAAGTCTTCCTCGAGTACTTTACATAGTGTGTTCTATGTATATATATATATATATATAAAGATTAAGGTGTGAGGGAGCAGTAAAGAAGGATGGGCAGAACACAAGAATTAACAAACTTGAAAAGTAGAGACTGACTGAGTGATATCAGATTGTCTTAATTTCCTTACGTCGAATGTTAAACGATATATCTTTCTGGGAATTAACATGATGTAAGAAGACCAGGAAAAATCAGAGAAAATATCTCGTCAAAGGTTATTAACTTTTGATTGAGGTTCAACTTTTGTGGCGTCTATGGTGTGACTTAAACGACATTTGAAATGGAAAACAGAGCTCGCTACACTATCCTATCTGTTCACAGGAATAAGCTTGAATGATCCTGAGCAATAAACAGAGAAGGTGTGAAATTTTATTCACCTAAAAGATAAGGAAAAGAGCTGGTCGTCACTGAAAACTGGTTCAGACAGAATAGATACTGTTATGACCGGAACTAAGACCTAGTAGACTATGAGCAAATACTAACTTAATGAGCTGGCTAATCTATCCTAATCGCACTTCACAAGCGACAACAACAATAACACCTGTTACATGCAAAGACAAAAGAAAAGGCTGGACGTTGATAAGAGAACTTTTATTGTCTTCAATAGTCCCAATGCTAGACAGAAACTCTGTACATATGTAGGTAGAATGACCTTGAATAACAGTAGTTGAGTGATTCATTAAAAGTATTAACAGCCAATAGGAACTCCGCAATTCAAGTAGAGGGAAAGGCAAAAGGGCTCACGCCAGTGAGCGATAACTCCTGAAAATAGTTAATTTAAGGTTTTAGGCGAAATTAGGCAAATCTACGCGTATATAACAGATATTCAAGTATATTACTTCTGAATTACGAAAGAAGACGGTCTGACGGGAAGTGGCTTTCCTAGTTTTCTCTTTAAAAAAAATGTGATGTTATGTCAGGGAACTGTTACAGAAATCAAAATAGCACGTAAATGAACCTTCGGCATAGCTGAGCTTTTGTCACTATGAGAAAGCGCATATTCACTGAAGCCATTCAACCAGCCGAAGTAACCTACTTTCATTAATGAAACTTGATGCACACTTGATCTAGAACATATGCTGATAGGAATCAAGAAAGTGCTTCATTCTAAATATGTTGAATAGAATTCATATCCAAAAAGGAGAAAAAGAACATCTCAGTCACCATAGGGAAACAGGATAATTTGTTGAAACTCATAAGTTGTATAGAAAATTTAATAACAAATGTATGACTGTGATCTATGAATACAGAAAAGAAGAAATGAATCTCCTCAGATACCTGTATCTGAATTTTGATTTATATTCAGTATATAACGTCTTCTGGTATCCTGTTACAGAATTCAGATAGCTCAGCTGATTTTAAGCTTGTTATGGCAGATTTATTCGTGTGTTACATAATCTCCTAACTACCAGCCAGTAAGGAGAAACATCTGTCTTGTTACAAATGTATATTTAGGAACTTGTCCACAGTGACGATGAAATGTCATGATGAAATGGGATAAATATCTTTTAACTACTTATAAAATGTTTTAGTAGGCTAATATTTATGTGTAAATAATCTTAGGCATATGGTGTATATACCAGTTGAAACCAAATGGTGGTTATTGTATTTGTTGCATCGAATGCTGTGAAATCACTTATATTCGTTTCATGATTTCAGACAGGAGGTGAGCACAATACTGAGAGACATTTACAACGATATGAAGTATGAAACACTGTCAATACTTAAACCTGTTTGTTCAAAGGAGCTGCGAGCAGTTTTCCAACATTTGTCAGAAGTTCTTTTGTCAAGCATGTCAAGCAGATTCATAGACATTCATTTAATCCTACTTGATAGCAGGACATCAGATCATTCTGAAAGAAAATCTTCAGCTATTCACCCTTCCATTTGACATGGTGGACAAAAGCGTCTGCTTCATAGCAAATTTATTAATAATAATTTATTATTTTGATTACAGCTTGATGCCACACCGTATTTTCAGTACAAGTATGGAGCTTTCAGCATGGATATCGGTAGCCCAAATTTAGCAGGCCGACCATAGATATCGGTTGTGCGTCGGCAGGGGATCGAACCTCGGACCATGTGCATGGTTGGCGAGAGTCTTAACCACTGTGCCACCGATGCACACAAGAATAACAAGAATCAAAATTAATGTGAGTATGATAATAGTAATAATAATAGCTTTATTCCGCAAAAGGTATGCATAGACAGGATAGAATTCTAGTCCTTTCATACTTTAAAGTAATCATTACTTGTAAAGAT